GCTGTGGAAGCTTTGGGCTCTCTCTGTTTCTAAGCAACACTTCAGTGTTGCAAAACAGAACTTCTCTGGTGACAGTTCTTAGTAGAGGAGATTTAATGTAGTTTAAGGGTGTTTGTAGTGAGTTCTCGTGGCTTTTTTCCTGTCCAAGATAGGAATATGTGGTAAGGAAAAGCTACAGGTGCAAAGTTTCTGTAGTTCAGTGTTATTTTCAAGGAGAGAAATTTGTTTAAAAAAACAAACACCTTTCATTAATGGAAGTGCTGTTTTCAGAATCTGACAATAAAGTAGGATTAAAGAAATTCTTTGAAGAATAAAGCTCAGACTTACAAATCTTTATTTATAAATACCTTTAGTGTTAATTTCCTGATGTTCTTTAGCTTTTTAAAAGACAATCTTAAGTCAACTCTGAGTTTTAAATTTTAAAACTTGCATAAAAGATTGAATTCCAGTAAGACCCCTAGTATTCTTTGATTGCCTTTATTATTTGCATGTTGTGCTTGTTCAGCAAGTGCTATTAAAAATACCTTCTTTTAGAATGCTGCCTGTATTTTGTGTGAGTAGATAATAGTGAAGCATTAGTAATAAATATTAATTTCCATCTTTCCTTTTTTCCTTTGGCTCAGCTTAACATTTGTCATAGCTGAGCAGCTCCAGCTGTGATATTTACTCATATCATGTTCCTTGCAGTTTGACCATGTAACTGATTATTAGGGAGATATTTCTGTTAAAATCAAGATTCAGGAGCTGGAACTACACATTCCCTTAGGGTTGCCTTGGTCTCAGTGGAGTTTGTGTACAGGATCTGTTGTACAAAGTAGGTGCAAGTAAGTTTTAAATAAACTTTATTACACATTTTTTTTAAATAAACTCAGATAACTTGGATTTTGTTGTTTCAGGGCAAGGAGCTGAAGCTCTCCCATGGCACAGATTTCAACGAGGCATTTTCTCCTGGGAAGTCTTGGAAATCCCGGCAGGTTTTAAAGATAACCAATAAACCTGATCAGCTGGAGAGGAAAGGAAGCTTCCTGGGAGATGGTCAGCATTTCTCACAGCAGAGTGAGAGTTCTGTCTCATTCACAAGCAACTTTGAAAAGAAATTAAACCCAGCACTTCTGGAAAAGCCCTTCATTAAAACTGTCCGTGCCACCCTGTTTGAGCACAATGTTCAGAAGCACAGTGTTGTTGCTGAGCATTCTGGGGCTGATCCTGCAGCAAAAAGGAACCAGGAGCCTGAGGCAAAGCAGGACCTGGTGGTTTTGGGGCACAGCAGACGCTCATGGATGGGAGAAGGGGAGGAAACCACTACTGCAAAGGAGCATCACAAGCAGACTGATCCATCAAAACATCCAGCACATGTAGAGAAAAGTCCAAAACCAGCTTGTTCAAGTGAAGACAAGAAAATGAATGTGGGAATTGTCTTAGAAAAATCTTTGGTTGAGAAAAGTGAAAAACCCGCTCCCAAAAATACAGAAAATTCTCAAATTTACCAAAGAATAGAGCCCAGGTATGAAATCTTTCAGACATGTGGTGAGAGGGCTCTTAGTGAAGCCATCACAATGGCTCCTGAGAAAAAGGCCATGACACTCAGAGCTAGAAAATCATCAGTGAAAGAGAATAAAACTGATGAGGATGTTGTACCCACAGGGCAGCCGGTTAAGGCAAGTAGTCACACTCTTTACTTGAAAGAAGATAATGTTGTTACTTCAGAAGCCAGAGAGGCAAAAGCTCTCACAAGCAAGGCTGTGTTGAGAGAACCTGCTGGTTTTGTCTCCAGTGAATGCACTTTACCTGAACAGAAAAGAGACTCTGATAAAACCGATCCCGAGCCACTGTTCATAGCTGAGAAAACACCTTATTCCACAAACAAAAGTAAAGGTTTGGGAATGAGTGAAAAAGCCAACAAGCTCCATGATGAAATTAAGGGTGAAAAGGGTGAAGTCTCTTCTGTAGATAAGTCAGAGAGAATTAATGTGAAATGCTCTTTGGAGAAAAGGAGTTTCAGGGCAGGTGGGACAGACATCCATGAATTCCGGACCAACTTGGATCGTGAAGTGATTTCCACGAGTGTCAATAAACACGGGGCTCAGGCTTCGGTGCTTACAAGTGGGCAATACTTTAAATCTTCTAGTAGCCACCCACCTGATACAAAAGGACTGAATGTTACTAAAGAGGAATCTGGAGTCTCTGGGTTGAGGAAAAGTCTGGACTTAAATTGTAAAGAGCGAGACTTCAGCTTGGCTTGTACAGCTCCTGAAAACAGTGAGAAACTCCGAGGAGCAGATCCAGAAGAGAAAGTCAGGAGAAGCAAAAGCAGTGTTTCTGACTTGAAGATTTCTGAAAGGTGGAGAAGAAGGACCTTGCCTCAGGAGTCACTCAAGGTGGAAGAAGTTGTGTGGCTCACTCCCGAAAATATCAAGAAGCTGAGCCGGACCGATTCATTGCAATTGAATGAGAATTCACTTAAAAAGAGAAGCAAAAAAATTAAAGATGGGGTAGAAGGGAGTGAGGCAAACCAAGCTGTTCTTGGCAGTCCTGATGATTACATGAAACATCAGAGTTCTGTCTTTGAGCCAAAAGCAACTTATTTTGCAGTGACTTATCAGGTTCCTGGTATCAAAAAAGAGAAAAGCTTTGTTGGTGCTCCCAGTGCAAGTGAAATTAATACAATTTCTGGTTCAAGCGAGGGAGCAGCAATTAATCTGGACCCTGTTTTTCCTGGAAGATCCAAACCTTTATTGCAGCAACCAAATAAAAATGTGACAAGTTCAACTTGTAGAGAAGACTCATGGGAAGTGCATGTTAGCAAGGATTGGGTCAAAGAAGATGAAAAAGATGCCGTTTTCTCCAAAAGTGTTGCATTTGGTAATTTTCCTCTGTCTAAGAAAGATAACCAACAGCATCACGAAAAAGGTCTGGATCATTGTAAAGAGAAAATTATAGATGTTGATGCTTTCCTGTTAAAACATGATCTGGAAAATACAGCTCAAGCTGATCTCAAGAGTGGCAGAAAGAAAGTCTCCTCTTACCATGAACCCCGGTCCCCACCGCGTTCCGCGCAGGTGCGTAAGGACAGCGAGCTGGGCCCCCAGAAAAGGAGTGACAATAATTCTGATTTGCCTGGAAGGAAGGCTGAGGATGGGTACAGGTCCCAAATTCTCGATATTGATGCGCTTATGGCAGAATATAAAGAAGAATCAGCAAAGGCCGGTAAAGTTCAAGAGAAGGTCTTTGAAGATCTTGGCTCACTGAGTAGGGAGAAATCAAAGAACAGAAGAAATGTGTCGGATAGAATGACTCTTACCTACAGCTGGAATGAGTGGAAGAGTGGATCAGACCACTATTCAGTTAATAACAAGCCCAGTGAACGTGCAGAAGAGCAGCCCAGGCCTGAGAAGCTAATCCTAAATGAAAAGAGCAAAGACAAACTGGAATTACGGAGCCCTGAATTTGATAAGCAGAAGTCCAAAGACAGAAAGGTCAGCCCCCCTTACTGGGGAAACCCCAGCAGCATTTTTCCAGAGAAGTTTGTAAATTCACCTGTGGAATTTGCTAGGAAGAAAACTTTCATTGTTGATGAGGATGAGGAAGTGAACTTGACCTCTAGAAATCAGGGTGCAAAATTTGTAATTGAAAAGGTACAGCCCATCAGTGTAGTGAGTGCAGAGCAGAGGCTGGAAGTCAATCAGGCCTCCAGGTTGTCCCTAAAGGCTGATGGTGGGCCCTTGCAGAAGAAGTTGGTGACAAAAGAACAGTTCCTGGAGGTGTCTCCAGAGAGTGACTGGAGCAAAAACATAGTGAGGAGCTCCACGCTGAGAAGCAAAGACAGCGCAAATAAAATGTGGGAGGGCGACTCTTTCAGAAGCAAGGCTGATTGGAAGAGTTGCATGTCTGGGTTTGGGACCGTCCCCGCGGATCTCAGGCGATCCTACTCGGAAAAATGCCGCCAAGGAAGGGACAGCCTGCCCCTCATGCAGGAGGTGAGGGCAAGGAAGGACCTGCATCGATCTAGGCCAAGCTTCCCCTTGGAAAGTGTGGATAACTCGTGGAAACACAAGGTGTCAGCTCAGTCAGAACCATTCTTCCATGAAGATAAAAAGGTATTTTCAAATGGTAGCCAAGTGTTTCATGTAACTGTACTGAACTTTTTTTGTTAAGGATTTTATTGTGTCCTTGGGGCACTTTTCAGCACTCCACAGCAAGGCAGCAGATCCATACTTTTCACTGGAGTTCATTTCATTTTGGGTTCTCTTGAGCAATGACTGTTGCACTAGATGACCTCATTTTTGCTTCAAGTCTAGAAATACTTATTGATGTTTCTGTGGAGAGCTTGAAGAAGCTTTAAAAAGTGTGCTTATTATTTTTGTAATGCTGTGAACTTGGGAAGTTAAATTGTTAACTCTGCAATTTTAGATTTACTTGGAAAGAAGTAATTAGGGCTTATTTTACAAGGTGTCAGCAGTGATCTTTTTGGACCTCTCTTGTTTTTTGTCTGAAGGAAGCAAAAGGTTCTTTTTATTTTTACTGGGTGAATGGCCTTTATTTGTCTGTGAAACTCCACTGCTTTCCTGACTTTGGTGAGAGGCAAGAGATTCACTTCACACAGTGACACGTGAATGAAATCCAGAGATTGGATTTGATTGGACAAGACCTTAATGGTCCTATAATTCTGTGATTAAAGTGTAGGATGTTCATGGCTATCGTGTGTTTTTCCATTTTGTGTTTTCAGTTTTGAGTTTCCTCTGGTGGGTTTTTTTTTCCAGAAGGCATTTTTATATATGTGTATGTATATATGTATATATATAAAATATGTATATATGCATGTGCATGTATATTTAATTACATTATAACTGTATTTTTCAGGCTCCCAGGAAAGAGTGGAGCAAGCAGAGCTCAGACAAAACAGAGGGAACAGACTTTTCCTCAGTGTCTACACAGAGGAGCCACCACAGTTTCTACAAGGAGAGAAGAGCAGATTTTGGGATGGTACGTGACCCAGGAGGAGGGGTTTGGGGTGGGATCAGGGAGCTGCAGCTCTGTTTTCCTCTTTGCAAAGGGCTGTGGTAGAAGGATGTGTCTGCCAAGCAGGAAAGTGTTTGCTGGGGGGTTGAACTGGCAAGGTTGCCTCTCCCTGGGATCCCACCCCACCGTTCCCTGCCAAAGCTTCCAACACGAAGTCTCAGCCTTGCAGCTTGTTCAGTTTGCTTTCTGAGTGAAGAATTTTCGTCCTGAACTCAAGATGGCTCTAGAGCATTATGGTATTTGTTGTTTTCTCCGCTTGTGCAGACAAATAGAGCTGTCCCAGCCTGAGAAATGATGGGTTTAATTTTCTTTCTGTCGGCAACACACAGAGGAGTGTTTCTGTGAGGGATCACAGCTGGGTGGTTTTGGGTGGTTTGATTTGTCTCTAACATACAAACTGTTGGGGTGAATTCCTGCTTGAAGTTGTTGGGTGGTGTTCTCCTCAGTTGCAGAAGGATGACCTGACTTTAGCCCTCTGAGAAATTTTATGTTGTGAAATAGCATCCAGCTGTTGTTCTGAAATAGAAAACAAAGGTCTGGATGTTAAAGATGTACAATAAATGAAATAATCAGCATTTTCTGAGGAAAGTAAAGGATTTGGAAGGGCTAATGGCCCTTTTTTTCCCCCATTCTTAGCATGGTTCATCTTAGGGGATTTGGGTTATTGACAGAATAGACATTTATCCAACCCCTAAAAGTAATGTACCATCAGCTTATGGTGCGAATATATAAAGGTGGTGCTGGCCAGGTAGGAAATGTGGACAGCCTTCAGCTTCACCAAGTGTAGCCTGAGACAGGAAGGGAAGGTGGGGAAGGGAGACTCAGCTCTCTGAAAAGAGAGAACTCAGCTGTGTGGAATTCAGTAGGATTGGAGTGCTTTGCTCCTTTGTGTTGCTTTGGATGGGAACACCTCGGGGTGTGTTTGTTGTGCAGTGCCATGGGAGCCCAAGGGCAGCCTGGTCCTCCTGGGTGTAAAGTGTGAGTGCACAGAAGGGGCTTAGGCTTGCATTTGGGAGGGGGAAAACTCACCACACTGATGTTTTCCAAAGCCCCACGGAGGTACTGCAGAGCATTATGTAAAACCAAACCATTTCTTCTGCGCCAAGGTTGTGCCTTTGTTTTCTTTGGAGAAAAGACAGATTTTAGGTGCGGAGTCGCAGTTCCGTCAGCGCGTTCCAACACTCCCCTCTGCTGGAGACACATCCGAGCTGTGTGAGGTGGACAGACACGAGGGGTCAGGAAAGAGCCACGGGAGTCACAGTTAATTCCCTGTTTCCCTGGAATCTGAACACAGCCTGTATTTCCCTTGGTGCATCTGTAAAGGGGGATTAGATGGAAGTGTAACATTGTGCTGCTGTTTGCTTTGAGCTGTTCCTGGTCTGTGTAGTTGGGAAGTTACTTATTTTTCCTTGTGGCTTAGTTACAAAACACCATATTCCAGTCCATATTGCTGGTCAGTGAGGGTATTGGTATTGAGACTGAGTGCTCAAAGTGACAAGTCTTGCTGTAGAATAAACAATTCCTTTTGATTTACATTCACCAGTGAAGAACTGATTTTGTTACCCTTTATATTTGCCAAAAAAGTTCACAAGAATATCCATTTGTTGCATTATTCCACATCTGTGATAATGAACAACTGCTTGAATGCTTTACCAGGACAGCTGATGAGCTAGGTTCTTATGGATAAATACCAATTCCAAATGGAAGCAAGGTGCTTCCAAAGTACTATCATTTTACCTCTGGAGAAGTAATTTCTTTGTGATTATATTCCTGAGAATCTGCTTGTAATCAGGCTTTTAGAACATTACATAGGATGACTTTGAAATCAACCATTGCAAAATATAAGTGGCAATATGGGATTGGTGTTTGAAATTGCAAAGGATGATACTTTGGAGATTTAACTCATCAAGATCATGTTGTTCAGCTATTTTGAGTTTGTATTGATTAAAAAACAAGTAAGGCTTTTATTAAGATTCCAGCATCACTGCTGGACTGTCATCATCTATGGTTTAACTGTGGCTGGTACTTCCCTCTCTTTTAGCCCTGCTGCAGGACAAAGTTGGTATAAAAATGAAGTTTTGTGCTTTGAACAGCGAGGAGTTTCTCTTACTGACTCAACTGCAAATCTCTGCAGTCTGCAGCAGGCTCAGGGCCTTGGGCTCTTGTAGGGATCTTTTCTTCAGACCTGGAATTCAGGTGGAGGGACAGGTGTGGGCCCTGAGCAATCAAACCCTCTCTGGGCTGGTACCTGTGGTTGGATGTGGGGCTGTTCCCACTCATTGCCTGCAAATCCAGGGGCAACCACAGAGCTCAGGAGGTGTTTCCATAAATTGTGTGATGCCATCAGAGCTGACGTTGGGTCACAAGCCTGGATTCCTGATTGAGTCATCCAGACTGATAAGAGTTTTGGGAATTAAAACCTGAGGAATGAGTGCTGGGACTCATCCTCCAAATAAAGGAGCTGTGGGTGTGCTGTGGGGCTGGAGGATATGCACCTTCAGCTTTAGTGCAGCTCTGGGTTCTAACCCAAACTGCTGCTTTGGGGAGTTAGAACAGAGCACTGCTACTAGAACTGATGTAGGCAGGAATTATTTTGAAGCCTCTCAACGTATTATTTATTTATTTTATTTTAAACTCTGGGGATTTTTTTGTCATTTAGGGAGGAAAATCTCTCTAATGGTCTCAACAGAAAGATGCATTTATATGAGACTGTGATGTGTGGGTGGAGAAGGGTTTGTTGAAGAAAATCATGAGTTGACTCTTAAAATATCTTGGAAATGAAGTGCAAGGGAGAGAAGATAAATATTTTATAAACATGTGCAGATGAATTTATGGTTTAGCTTGTCACAGTTCACCAGTTGTTTTCAGTTCTGCCCATGACAGGTCTGTCTCCTGCCCACTGAAAACCACACCTTCTCTTTTTCTGGACCATGGAAAGCCTCTGATACTGGAGCTTTGTTCCTTCTGAAACCCATCTTGAGTGGTTCTGTTACCCCAAAAATTGATTCAACCTGGAATAAAATCAAAATACTTTGTCAACTCTACAGGAATTCATAGGTGATGATTAGAATAGTGGGGGGTAGTTTCCTTGCAGTACCAAAATTTCAAGGAGAGGAGGCTGCAGCATCCTGGGAGCTGATTTTTGTCACCTCAACCTTGTCCCTTCCTGGGAAGGGTGAGAGCTGGAGCAGTGCTGGGAGAGGACAGGCTGTAAGAGCCCTCCCTGGACAGGCTCCTGTCACTTATCTTTCCTTTTCCTATCAAAAAAAAGGATGTAAGTAAAAAAAGCAGCGTTACAATTCCCATTTTTGCTCTTCACAAACCACCCACTGCTGATGTCCAACAACTCCACCATTCTCTATTTTAGACCCAGCCCGAGGAGGACGACCCGGGGGTGGGTAAAGCTCTGCCTGGGCTTTTTTCCTTTTTTGGCAGTTTTCATTCCCTGGGAACATTCCAGGGTTGTATAAAAAGTCACTTGGTTGTATCTATTTCTCCTCGTTCACAGAAGACATTTTTATATTCAAAGAACATAAAAACAGCAGTTCCTCTTGTTACATGTGTGGGTTTTTGTCTTTCCTGTACATCACCCAAAACAAGGTCAGCGAGCGACCCCGCCAGTGTTCACAGCATTTCATAACTGAGGGATTTTAGAGCTTTCCTTTCCTTCTGGAGGGCCTTGACTGCAAAACCCAAAGTCCTGTCAGTAATTCCAGCCTTGACCCACTCCAGATTAGAGTTGGGAGTTCTCAGTGGGTTCTCAGGAACAAGTGGTTTGGTCACGTGCTGCCGGTAGCTCAGCGGCTGCTCCTGAGGAGCCCCAGCTCTGACGTGGGGCCAGACACACTCGGTACATTATTCATGCTGCTTTTAATTGCTCCACTCTGCTTTTAACTGGAGCTGGAGGCGGGGAGAGCCGGGAGCTGCCTGCAACAGGGATGGGTTGGCGTTAACTCGGAGCTGTGGAAAATGGAGTATTATTACTGTCCACGTCTGCTGAAGTTCCTGCAGTATCTGTGGGTAAGTGTGTGCTGGAATGTCAGTGTGCTCCCAGAGCTGTTTCCACTCTTTCCACTCTTTCCAGAAATCCTGGGAGTGTTCATACGTGCTGAAGGCTTTCCTCAGCAGTTCCTTTTTGAGTAGTAACGTGAAACTCGGGATTTATTTTGGGTGAGAAAGGCTGTTTTATATCTAATACCTTAAACTGTAGACTACCCAAATGTGCCTTGGAAAACCCTTTTAGGAATCAACACTTCTTCCTTGTTTATGAAGAACCATGGGAGCTGTGGTTTAGTTTAGTGTGTGTTAGGAATATTCTTCTCTCTTTGTGTAAAAGCTTTCTCTGGCTCTGGAGCCACTGCCCTGCTGCTGGTACAGCCACTGCCTGCTATTCCAGGAAAACAGCTGTGCTCCTGCCTTTAGGAGTGTGTCATTTTACAGTTCCTTACTTGTTTTTAATTTGACTCTTCATGGGTTTTGATGTCTCGGTGAGCACTTCCTCTTCCAACACTCCTCAGGGCTGTCTGTCATGAAAGGCTCTTTTTAGCAGGCTCTGTGCTGCCCTGCCAGCTTTGCTCGGGGACTGCTGTGTGTCTGAAACTTTCACATTTATAAAACATGCATTTGAGCTGAAAAGCCTTTCTGAATAAATACTGTATTGCTTTGAACTAATTACTTAATGTTCTAATTTCTCCTGGACTCCTCAAAGATCAGTTTTGATTTGCTTGTTGTAGTTTGCATTGATCTTCATTTTTTCAGCTGTCAGTTCAGAGTGTAATCAGCACCCACACCAAACCTCTCCATGTTAGTTCTTATCTACTATGTTTTAAAACTGCAGCAGAGTTTCCTTCCCTCATTTTCAGTTTAATTTTGCAATCCTTGCCTTTATGTCCTTTGATCAGTTGTGAGGTGAGATTGCCCACTGTGCATTTCTTGCTGCTGGGAGAGAAAATTGTGCTTGAAAAACGGGATTTTATTAAAACCTTTTCCTGCTGGAGACTGTAGTAGTGTAAAATGTGGACATGCTGGTCATTAATTAATTTTTTTATTTGACCAGCTTTATTTTTAAGAGACAAGCTTCCTTTAAATTGCAAACTAAAAAATTAGTCATTAGTGTGATGAGGGGGTGGAAGTTCTTTGTGGTTTGTCAGTGTGAGATGTGTGAAAGAGCTCTCTCCCTGCTCTTGCTTGGAGATGGGATTTTCCATAAGGCCAAGGGAGAAATCCCAAACCAACTCAAGCTTTGGATCAGTCCAGAAGGTGCCTGGGATGGTGGGCTCCCATATTGTGCACTTCTAGGCTGTAACAGAACAGAATGTTACGTTTTCTGGGTGTACATTCTCTTTTAGAGACCTTGGAGCATTTCCTAGGCACTTTCATTCATGCACACTTCCTGATTTACTGCAAGAAAATATTAGAATGACAGTACTGATATTCATGATGTTAAAGAAATTTAAGAGACATGCACAGTTGTGCCTTCTGTCACTTTCTGTGCTGCTGTTGCTGCTGGAGGCTACTAAGGAGATACTTATCTCTTCTCTCTACTTACAGTCAGGAGTAACCAGAGATGTTTGGGTTGGTTGTCAAGTGTTATTTAATCTGTCTTGGGGAGCTAAGATACTTTATTTATTAGGCAGATGTACCTGAAGAAGTTACAACTCTGAATTAAAAAATATTATAAGGAAAATCTGGTTTTACATCTACTCTATGGAGTCACTGTTGGGTTGCATCTCCCCTGCTGTGTATTTGCTTTACTCCTACAGTGGTGGAGTTGTGGGACATCACTGGACCCACTCATTGCCAGCTCTCTGCTAATTCCTTGCTGATTGCTGTCCTGATCTTTGGGCAGGATGTGTCTGACTGTGACAAACAGCATCTTCTGAGCACAGCAGGGTTTGTGTGCAGTGGTGTGACCACCACATGTCCTGTGGGAGGGTGACAGCTCTGGCTTTCTGAGAAGTGTCTTTGTGTCCAGTGAAATGCTTTTTCCCACAGCTTGTATATATTTGAGTATTTTCCAGTGTGCATGGGATAATAATACATTATATATATATATGTAATCCATCACCCCTTTTCCAGCTGGTGAGGAGCTCTGCTGCAGTTGCTACAAGACATCTTTAGGTCTGGCTAGCACAGGAAGTAGTTCTGTAGTTGTCCTGTAGGTCCTGTAGGTGCAGCTCCATGGTCCTACATCAATCCCAGGGTCAGA